AATAAAGTCAGCCACTGTTTCCCCATCTATCTGCCATGAAGTGATGGGACTGGATGCCATGATCTTAGTTTTCTGAATCATGGCTGTAGTAATTTAACAAATATTTCTTGAACACTTACAGGTGCTGAACTGTGGTAGTGCTGGGGATTCAAAGATGAGAAAGCCATAAACTCTGTTCCTAAACAGCTTACTCATTTACTTAGAGAAACATCTAATACATACTCAGAATTCGACATGTAGCAATAGTGATATTACAGTGTTTATGGCTGTTAGAGGAGAGCCTGACAGATTTGCAAGGAGAAGTTGGTAAAGGCTCCATAGAGGATGTGGATGTGAGCAAAAGAGTTTCAGAAAAACATCTACTTCTGCTTCACGACTTTGCTGAAGCCTTTGACCATGTGGATCACAACAAACTGGAAAATTCTTAGAGAGGTGGTAATACCAGACCACCTTACCTGTTTCCCGAGAAACCTGTGTGTGGGTCAAGAAGCAATAGTTAGAACTAGACATGGAAAATCTGACTGGCTCAAAACTGAGAAAGGAGTATGTCAGGGCTGTATATTGTCACCCTGTTTATTTAACTTATCATCGTATGAAATACTTGGCTGGATAAATAGCAAGCTGCAATCAAGATTGCTGTAGGAAATATCAATAACCTCAGATATGCAGATGATACCACTTTCATGGTAGAAAGCAAAAAGGAACTAAAGAGTCTCTTGATGAGGGTGAAAGAGGAACGTAAAAAAAACTAGCTTAAAACTGAACATTAAAAAAAGCTAAGGTCACCACAGACAGTCCCATCACTTCATGACAGATAGAAGGGGGACAAGTAGAAGCAGTGACAGATTTGCTTTTCTTGGGTTCCAGAATCACTGCGGACAGTACTGCAGTCATGAAATTAAAAGACACTTGCTCGTCCAAAGGAAGAAAATAGAAGTGTTAATTGCTCAGTTGTGTCTGACTCTTTGTGACTTCATGGACTGTAGCCTGCCAGGCTTCTCTGTCCATGGAATTTTCCAGGCAAGAATACTGAGGTTGGTTTCCATTTCCTTCTCCAGGGATCCTAGACCCAGGGATCAAACCCGGGTTTCCTGCATTGCAGGAAGATTCTTTACCATCTGAGCCACCAGGAAAGCCCTCACGAGGAATGCTATGACAAACCTAGACAGTGTATTAAAAAGCAGATATCACTTTGCTGACAAAGATCCATGTAGCCAAAGTATGGTTTTTCCAGTAGTCATGTACAGATGTGAGAGTTGGGTCATAAAGAAGGCTGAGCACCAAAGAATTGATGCTTTTGAATTTTGGTGCTGGAGAAGACTCTTGAGAGTCCCTTGGACAGCAAAGAGATCAAACCAGTCCATTCTAAAGGAAATAAACCCTGAATATTCATTGGAAGGACCGAAGCTCCACGACTTGGGCCACCTGATGCCTGCTCATTGAATAAAATCCTGATACTGGGAAAGATTGCGGGCAGGAGGAGAAGGGGATGACAGAGGATGAGATGGTTTAATGGCATCATCTATTCAATGGACATGAATCTGAGCAAACTCAGGGAGATAGTGGAAGACAGTGAAGCCTGGTATACTGCAGTCTGTGGGGTCACAAAGAGCTGGACACAACTTAGCAACAGAATAGCAATAGCAAAATAGGCTCAACCTTGGTATTTAGAGTGCTGTCTATGTAAGGTGTGAGAGATAGAATATGAATGACTGGGAATCTTCGCATGAGTCTGAAAAGGGGATTCAGGAAGGCAGAGGTGTCGGATCAAGACTCCCACAGGGTGGGCAGGAGACCTGTAAGTTTTTGTATGTGAAGCAGCCACGCTCAGCCTACGTTTGAGAAACGGGCAATTCAGGTAAAAGCAGTGCTCTTAACCATCAGCGATCAGTTGTAGCGCCTTCAGGAGGCAGCCCCGCCGTGGGCCGAGACCGTGCTCTCCCCGGGGAGTCTCTTGCTAGTTGCTGAGCGCTGAGCAGACAGAGGCCAGCTCTGCCTGTCTGGGGCTCCTCGAGCAAAGCAGTGCCCCTAAGCTCCCCCGTGGCGTGGCCAGGATTTGTCAGATCTACGTCCTGCTCTGAGGCTCTCCTGCCAAATTTCCTTTCCTCTGCCTCTTCCCTTTCACAGGTATCAGGTCAGCACCTCGGTCTGAAGGCTCTCCCTACCCAGTCCAGCAGCCTCCCCTGTTTATTTTTCGTTAAGAGCAGATAGACCGCGTCTCTTCTAACACCATGTCAGCCTCCGCTTCCAGGAGGACCAACAGACACAGGAATATCAGTGCTTTGTAAAATCAGTGTTGCTTAGAAGGATAGTGTAATGTTAGTTCCTCGGTCGTGTCTGACTCTTTGCGACCCCACGGACTGTAGCCTGCCAGGCTCCTCTCTCCATGGGATTCTTCAGGCAAGAATACTGGAGTGGGTTGTCATGCCCTTCTCCAGAGGATCTTTCCGACCCAGGGATCAAATCCCATCTACTGCATTGCAGGCAAACTCTTTACCATTTGAGCTATAGGGAAGATCTTAGAAGCTTAGAAGAGTACTCCTTTTATATGTATATTTAAACACTCACTAGATAAATCTGATGCAATTCCTATAAAATGGAAGAAATTAATTGTATGCAAATATTAGATGAGAGCTTTTCAGAATTAGTTCTATACTTCTAATGTGCTTAACATTGCTTAGTTTCTTTTAATGAAAGAGAGTTTATGCATTTTCAGCTTTTTCACTGTCATTTCACAAAGACCATCGGCTAATGTTTCCCTTTTTTTTGTAGTGATTCTTCTTTATTAATTTTTGTTTATTTGGCGGTGCTGGGTCTTCGTTGCTGCGTTTCTCTAGCTGCGGTGAGCGGGGCCTGCTTGTTGTGGAGCAGAGGCCGAGGGCCCCCATGGGCCCAGTGTTTGCAGCTCGCGGGCTCTGGACCACAGGCGCAGTCGTTGTGGAGCCTGGGCTTGGTTGCCCCGCGGCATGTGGGATCTTCCTGAGACAGGGATCAAACCCACGTCCCCTGCATTGGAAGGCAGATTCTTAACCACTGGCCCCCCAAGAAAGTTCTCTTCCTATTGTTTTTTAACAGAATATGCTTGATATCGTTAATGATGTCTTCAATGCACAGGAGATTCACATGCATCTGCTTTGCATGAGATTGTGATACTGAAATAAAGGTGGTGGAGATTTTAGGTTTCTATTCTGCTATCCTTTAGAATTCATGACCCCGGCATCTCCAAACTTACAATTGGATTTGAATCCCTGAGATACTTGTTTTCATTTCTCCCTCTTTTTATATTTTCTGTTTCTTTTTTGAAAATCTTCAGTTCAGTTCAGTTCAGTCGCTCAGTCGTGTCTGACTCTTTGCGACCCCATGAATCACAGCACACCAGGCCTCCCTGTCCATCTCCAACTCCCGGAGTTTACTCAAACCCATGTTCATTGAGTTGGCGATGCCATCCAACCATCTCATCCTCTGTTGTTCCCTTCTCCTCCTGCCCTCAATCCCTCCCAGCATCAGGGTTTTTTCCAAGGAGTCAACTCTTCGCATGAGGTGGCCAAAGTATTGGAGTTTCAGTTGAAAATCTTAGGTGCATTCTGTCACTGGCTCATCAATAGGCAACTAAAGAATGGACCTGAAAAACCAGAAGTTCTGTAGATATCATCTCATATCTGTTATAGTGGCTTTTATAAAAGCGATAGCAAATGGTGGCCAGGATGTGGCTAAAAAGGAAGCTTGTGCACTGTTGGTGGGACTGTAAACTGGTACAGCCACTGTGGAAAATAGTATTGGACTTCCTCAAAAATTAAAAATAGAGCTACCATATGATCCAGCAATTCCACTTTTGGGTATTTTTCCAAAGAAAAGACAATCACTGTTTCAAAAAGGTGTCTATATCTCCATGTTCAGTGTAGCATTATTGACAATAACCAAGACATGGAAGCAACCTGTGTCCATCAGTAGGTGAAGAAATAAAGATGAAATACATATATATATCATTGAATATTTGTCAACCTTAAAAAAGAAAAAAAAATGGAAGAAATCCTTCTGTTTGTGACAATTTGCATGGACCTTGATGGCATTATGCTAAGTGAAATAAGTCAGGGATAGAAAAAATACTATATGATCTCATTTGTATATGGAATCTAAAAAATAAATCCGAACTTGTAGAAAAAGAGATCAGGTTTGTGGTTACTGGGGTAGGAGATGGGGGGAGTGGGAGTTGAGGGAAGGTGGTCAAAAGGACAGACTTCCAGCTGCAAGGTGAGTGAGTACCACGGATGCAATGCACATCGTGATGGCTATAGTCAACACTGCTGTCTGACACAGGGAAGTTGTTGAGAGAGTGAATCCTGAGAGTTCTTACCAGAAAATTTTTTTTCTCTTTCAGCTTTTTCTTTTTATTGTATCTACATGAGATGATGGGTGCAAACTAAACTTATAGTGGTTATCAGCCTACAATATACGTGAGTCAAACCACTATGCTGCACACTTTAAACTTACACAGTGATGCATGTCAATCATATGCGCTTCTGAGGTGGCGCCAGTGGTAAAGAACGCACCTGCCGATGCAGGAGACATGAGAGATGCAGGTTTGATCCCTGGGTCAGGAAGATCCCCTAGAGGAGGGCATGGCAACCGTCTCCACTATTCTTGCCTGGAGAATCCCGTGGTCAGAGGAGCATGGCGGGCTACACTCCATAGAGTCTTACAGAGTCAGACAAGACGGAAGTGACTTAGCACATACCCATGCATATCAATTATATCTGTAAAACTGCTTTGAGGGGGAAGTTATCCTCAAGTAATTGTATATTTGCTAGCAGGGTTTTTTTTTTTAATATTGTGTCTGTGATTCTTCTCACATAATACTTTACATAGTTGATAAGTGGTATCTGTTTAATATGTTACATACTGAATCATACTTTGTGTCATTTCCTGGATATTTGAGTATAGTTTTATGAATGTGTGTGCATCTGTGTGTTTTACACTATTTTGGCATACTGCAAGTGAGAACAGCTGAAAATAACGTGTCAAAGAAGGGTATCGTCAGCACAGAAATGTTTTTGTTAAATCATTGCACATTTGTTGATGTCGTTGTTGAGTTAACCTCTGTATCTACACTGGTTTCCCGGGGGGCCTCACACACTAGCACGAACTGGATGGCTTAAAGCAACAGAAAATTGCCTTCTCACAGCTCTGGAGGTTAGAAGGGCCCCAATCCAGGTGTCAGCGGGTTTGGTTTCTGCTGCAGGTTTTCAGGGTTGTCTGTCCCATTCCTCTCTCCTAGCCCCTGGTGTTCCTTGGCTGGTAGAAGTATTGCTATAAATTCTGCCTCTGTCATCGCAAGGAATTTTCCTCTCTGTCTGAGTCTCAGAAGAAAGTTAGTCTTAGGTTGATAACGTCTGCAAAGACCCTATTTCCGAATAAGATGACATTCGTGGGAATCCAGGGCTAGCACATCAACAGTTCTTTCTGGACGACACAATTCAACCCATAGTAGTGTGTAAAACTACATGCTTGCCATTACTTTTAAGTTTATGGATGGCTTTGACATGTTTTCTCTTTTGATTTCAAAGATGCTTCTTCTTTCACATCACCCTCCTCATGATGATTTCAAAGAAGTTATTATGACTCTTAAGTGTTTCATCTTTAATCCTGGAACCATTAATATTTATTGTTAGTATCTGAGATACCACTGCTTAACTAATTAAACCAATACAACATGAAGTAGTTTAAATATTCTTAATATTTATATCAAAATGTTGATCATTGTACCCCAGTGTTCATGACAGCACTATTTAAAATAGCTAGGACGTGGAAGGAACCTAGGTGTCCATTGACTGAGAATGGATAAAGGAGTTGTGTTACATGTATACAATGGTATGTTATTCAGCTGTGAAAAAGAATGCATTTGAGTCAGTGAAAAAGAATGCATTTGAGTCAGTTTTAATGAGGTGGATGAACCTAGAGCCTATTTTACAGAGTGAAGTGAGTCAGAAAGAGAAGAACAGATTGTGTATATTAATGCATGTATGTGGAATCTAGAAAGATGGCACTGATAGCCTCTATGCAGGGTGGCAGAGACGCAGATATAGTGAACAGACTTGGGGACATAGCCGGGGAAGGAGGGGGTGGGATGCATTGAGAGACTAGGATGGAAACACAGACACTGCCATGTGTAAACTAGATAGCCACTGGGAATTTGCCCAAGTCTGGTGCTCTGTGAAAAGTTAGAGGGATGGAAAGGGGTGGGAAATGGGAGTGAGATACAAGAGGGAGGGGACATATGTATGCCTATGGCTGATTGATGCTGATGTAGGGCAAAAACCAACACAGCATTGTAAAGCACTTATCCTCCAATTAAAAATAAATACATTAAAAAAATGTTAATCATCTGATATTCCAATTAGACTCTTCCATATCTGTCTCAATCTCTGGAATCTCTCAAAATAGGAATTGGACCATTACATCATTTTCAGTTCCCTTTTTCTTAAATATCCTAAAGTCATATAGGCTTTAGGTTAAATTTCACATCTTGTTGTAAACATTGATTTCTTGACATAGAATCTTGCATCTCATTGACACAGGAAAGACGGGCTGTGATGTGGGAAGGAGATAGACTTGGACAGAATGGGATCCAAGCCCTGTTCTGCTACTAGAAACTTTGCAACCTTGAACCTCACCTGTAAGGTGGTGCTAGTTGTTTGGAGGATTAAGTGACAGCAGCTAATGTAGTTTATTAGCTTATGTGCTAATAGCTTCTGTAGCTTCATTATATGCCAAGCCTTGTTCTAGGTGCTTTACAGATATTACCATAAGTAACTTTTAACCAACATACTCAATAAGTTCTTTTATTACCTGTATTTTAAAGAAGGGAAACAGACTCAAGAAGGTTTAGTAGCTTTCCTGTAGTTAATCAGCTAGTTGTGATAAGGCTGGAATTTGAATATGAGCATGCAGGTTTCAAAGTCCACACTCACAGTAACACCATCCTGCCTTTCCAAGTCATTTATTGCAGAACCTGACCTAGTGGTGTGTGTGCCTTTTGGCTGTTTATGTGGAGATGTATTTAGAACATCTGTGAATCTGTGCTTTAATGGTAATGCTGGTTTGCTGAAAAACTAGAGCTAAGAAGGCACTGAAGACCCTAAATTCAGAAAAAAAATTTTACATAAAAAAAAATTAAGCGTGTCTTTGGAAGAATGTAGAAACTGTTCTCTGCTACTGACCAATATTATTTTCTTTTTAATTCGTTTACTTTTGAAGATGCCTAACTTTCCCCATCCCTTTTGTGAATGGCCGCCAGGCCATAGTCTTTAATATGTACTAATGATTATGCGTGTGTGTGTGTGTGTGTGTGTGTGTGTGTGTGCATGAGCACATGTATGTAGACATGCAGATGTGAGCTTTGGGGAGGGCGTACACTTTGCATGGGGAATGTTTAAGTCACTCTCAAGACTTTGAAACTGTTCAGCAACACCTAAGTGGCCTGATAACACTACGAATGTACTAGAACAAGAAATACCCTCTTCACATCCACAAGAACAAGGCACGCTGTACTCTAGGGATCAAACACCGCCTTCGATGAGCTAATCTTGTAACTTCAGCATTCACCAGGGAGCAAAGTGTAAACAACTGGAAAGGAAATTGAGCTAGGGGTGACAGTCCAGTTCCTCACACTGTGCAGCGGCAGGACTCGGGCTTGTTTGCTTAAGGGGCTGTGGAGAGTTCATCTCTGGCTCTTGGCACCAGATAGTGGTGGGCCACTCTCTGAGGAGGGGCCCAGGGAGTCTGCGAGGAGGTAAATCAAAAGTGTCTGGCACGTCCGAGCATCGGGCTGTGGGAAGCCCCAGCCTCGAGGCTGATAACTTATCTCTGTCCTTGCCCTGAAGTTGGGTTATGCTGTTTAAAATATAGACAGAGTAAATTTTGTGTTTGTGGTATTTATACAGATTTGAATCTTTTAAAAATTCAAGTTATATTTCTTTTGAATTAACAAATAGAATTTAGCAGCATGTGCTCATTTTTAATTTTTTAAAATTGAAGTATATTTACAGTGTTGTGATGGTTGTATTTCAAATTCACCAAAATATAAAGAAAATAAAATGACACCCAGTTAGATATAATAGATGGCAAACCACCTACTTAACATATTTTTTTCTTCCTTCTCCTCTTCCTCTAAAAAAATTTATATAAAAATTTAGGTTTAAATTTATATAAAAATTTAGGTTTCACCTAAACCTCTACCCATTTCTCCCAGCTGCCCCGATTATTTGGAAGCAAGTTGTAGCAATCATATCACTTCATACATGCATTTTAAAAATTAATGTCTAAAAGATAAAGAATATTTAAATATGTCCACAATATCATCATCTTATCTAAATAACAATAATTCCTTAAATCCTCAAATATACATTCAGTATTCAAATTTTCCTGTTTTCTTCTATAATACAAGTAGTCTATTCATTTGAATCAGAACCAAAGTAATGTCCATCCATTGCAATTGATTGACGTCTACTAAGTCTCTTATAATCTGTAGATCTCTTACCCCGTGTCTGTTGTCTTCCTGGCAGTTTACTTGGTGAAGAAGCCCACACTGCAGATTTTGATGATTGGATCCAAGTGGCTCCATGTACTATTTTACTTTGTTTTTTCGTAAATTAGGAGTTGGATCTAGAAGTTTAAGCAGATAGAAATTCTCTTTATAGCAAGAATATTTCACTGGTATCTTGTGTATTTGTATGAAGGGCACATAATATTGGCTTGTCTTTTATTTATGATTAATGCTCAGAGTATCATCTTCTCTTTAAAGAAATAAGATGTTATCAACACAAAGTTCCATCCCACCTCTCATTCCGTCCCCAGAGGTAACTGCTACCCTGAATTTCCTGTGTTTCATTTCCATACATATTTTTATCCCTTGATTATGTGAGCATATCCTTCTAAACAAGTTTTAAAATACATGTGTTTTAAATTTTTACACAATTGGTATCACACAGCATGAATGTATTTGCAGCTTCTTTGGGGATGTATCTATGTTAAAATACAAGGACCTAATTCATTTATTTTTAACCACATTTCAGTATTGCATTGTATGAATGGACTCTGGTTTCTTTATCAGTTTGTCTAATTGTGGACAGATGGGCCAATGTCACTTCCCCTGTTATGAACAGCACTGCAACAAATACTCTCGTACTGAGTCCTTGTGTGTGTGTATTCTAGTTCCTCCGGGACAGATACTGGAAAGGGAAATTTCTGGTTTATAGTGGAGCTGGCTTGGGCTGGCTTAAGAGAGCCTATTGTTACAGTTTCAAAATTTTTGTGAACTGAATTTTAAACACAGACATTATTAAAAGTTAAATTACATAAACTTGCAAGTAAATTATGTTAAAAACAAAGGTAATAAATACCCAAAGAGCATCGCTTACTGATTATTTTTCGGTAATTTACTATGCTCTTTAGGTACATACTACCATTATCTAGTCTCTTGAGGTTATTTACATCTGCTTTATCTGTCTGGAGGAAGTACTATATAACAGTGTGATTCTGCTTATCTCTTCCCAGCTCTGCGCTGAGTGGCACCACGCTGGTAGCTTGAAGTCAGTCTTGGTGGGAGTGTTCACATTACAGAAATTGGGCCCTACTGCAAATCAGGACTTAATTTAGTGTTTTGTTGATGGTCTAGACTCAAGAAAGCAAGGGGGGGAATGTTAATCATGAAGATTCATCTTAAAAACATGTTGTGTCTGCAGTCCTTACATTGCAAATAGCCCCCAAAGTGAGAAAATCATCTTTCAGTCTTTCAAGCACTATTATCCAGTAACATATCCAAAGTCACATTCGATGGTCATGGTACAATTCCTTGGGAGGTGATGGACTGTCCAGTCAATGATGGCATAATTTAGAGGCCTAATTTGCACCACACTAAAAAAAATTGTTTGTGGATGAAAGATCTCAAAGCACCAGCAGCTTTTCTTTTGAAAGGAAAAAGAAGAAGTCTTTGTGGCCGACAGAGCAGGCCCCTCTCAGATCCATTTTCAAGGAAGGTCTTATTGTCATGTTGTTTGGTCGCTCAGGTGTGTCCGACTCTTAGTGATCCCATGAACTGCAGCTCGGCAGGCTCCCCTGTCCTTCAGTATCTCCCAGAGTTTGCTCAAACTCATGTCCATTGAGTCGGTGATGCCATCCAACCATGTCATCCTCTGTCGTCCCCTCCTCCTCCTGCCTTCAGTCTTCCCCAGCATCAGGGTATTTTCCAGTGAGTCAGCTCTTCGCATCAAGTGGCTCAAGTATTGGGCTTTCAGCTACAGCATCAGTCCTTCCAGTGAATATTCAGGCTTGATTTCCTTTAGGATTGACTGGTTTGATCTCCTTGCAGTCCAAGGGACTCTCAAGAGTCTTCCCCAACACCACAGTTCGAAATGGCTGTCAGGCTTCAGTGGTCAGCTTTTGGACCCAAGTTCACACTGATCTTGGGGAGGTCACCAGCCAATGCCTGAGCAAGGTGGTAATTGAAGCCATTTCCACCCAGTGATGAACTCCGCAGAGGGGCAGCCTTTGCCCTGGAGTTCCCGTCGGGCTGGCAGAGACTCTCAAGGTCTGCATTGTGTTCTGACGGCCCCTGCCCAAGCTTACTCTCACTCCTTTTCTTTCTTAGGTGTAATGCCCCTGGGAAACCTCTGCACACCTGACTTCATTTCAGGGTCTGCTTCTCCCTGAGGAACCCACCTGCAACCCGCTTTATGACTTTGGCTTAGGAAGATTGTTCCTTTATGAGTTAGACAGTTCTACAACGTACATCCATTATATTTTTGTTGGAATGACTGATCGTGTTATAGTATGGCTTGCATACAATTTTCTTCTGGACCCTGAATTTAGACCAGGTTCTAAATGTGTGTATTTGCCAAACTGTTAGGAGTCCTTGCTTTGGGTAGTGAGATATTGTCTGAAAATGTTCTAGTTGCATATCCATATTTTTCCTTGCTCTCCAACAAACTCGTTCTACTTCTTTTGTTGTTGTTGTCAAATATGTCTTTATTTGGCTCTGCCAGGGCTTAGTTGCAGCATGTAGGATCTTTGATCTTTGTTGCAGCCTGTGGGATCTTTAGTTGTGGCATGTGGGATCTAGTTTCCCAACCAGGGATCAAACCTGGGCCCCCTGCACTGGGAGCTCAGAGTCTTAGTCACTAGACCACCAGGAAAGTCCCATTTATTCTACTTCTATGAGTTATGTAAAAAAGTATTTTTCTTTGCTATGAGTGTTTGTAGCAATGGCTGGGAGCTTGATAGCTAATTCTACTCAATAATTCATTGAGAAACTGCAAGTCGCCAAGTTTTGTTCTAAAACAGCAGGAGATTTAAATACCAGCAAGAGTGTCCTTGGGCTTCTCCAGTGGCTCAGATGGTAAAGAATCTGCCTGCAATGTAGGAGACCCAGGTTAGACCCCTGGGTTGGGATGATCCCCTGAAGAAGGGGATGGCAGCCCACTCCAGTATTCTTGCCTGGAGAATCCCATGGACAGAGGAGCCTGGTGGACTCCAGTCCACGGGGTTGAAAAGAGTTGGACACAACTAAGCGAGTAACACTTAACACTAAGAATGTCCTTGCTCCCAAGGATCATGCGAACGAGACCAAGGCAGGAGACGCTTTGTAGGGTTGCTTTGGTCAGCTCCTTGTGTTCTACCTTAATTCGTTTTGGTCAAACCAACTTTGTTGAGAAATTTGTTTCAGTTTCAGGCAGTGGCTTCAGTACATCTAGAAACTTAGCGTCTGTGTTGACTTAAGGGAAGAAGTCATTCTTTTTTGGTTGACTTAACGGTCTTTCTTGGGCTTCCCAGGTGGTGCTAGTGGTAAAGAATCCACATGCTAGTGCAGGAGGTGTAAGAGACCTGGGTTTGCTCCTTGGGTTGGGAAGATCCCCTGGTGGAAGGCATGGCAACCCACTCCAGTATTTTTGCCTGGAGAATCCCCATGGACAGAGGAACCTGGCGGGCTCTAGTCCATGGGGTCACAAAGAGTCAGACACGACTGAAGTGACTGAGCACACACATGGACAGGGATATTATTGGTAGTGACCTCATTAGTTTAGGGGCTTTCCTGGTGGCTCAGATGGTAAAGGATCTGCCTGCAATGCAGGAGACCCAGGTTCAATCCCTGGGTCAGGAAGAACCCCTGGAGAGGAGAATGGCCACCCACTCCAGTATTCTTGCCTGAAGAATCCCATGGACAGACCATGGGGTCAAAAAGAGTTGGACATGACTGAGCGACTAACACTCTCACTTTCTTTCATTAGTTTAGTGTGAGAAAAAATGTAATGATACCAGTAATAATAATAATAATAATAATAATAATAATACAAGCAGTGCTCCTGTCCTGAGATCCCTTTCTTAATTTGACAAAAGAAGCTCTCTCCTTTCTAGAGTGGCAGGAAAATGAGCGCCATACAGTTAGAAATGGGAGTAGGAATAAGCTTTGCAGCATCACCTGGCAATAAACTGACACAATTTTTAAAAGCTCTTTAGATTCATACCGAGTGAAGAATGAGTATAGAGGAAGGCAAAGGAAACAGTTGTGTCCTAAGACTTTGGAAGAAGCTGGCCCCAAGTCCCTAATGACAGAGAGAAGTATGTGTGTGATGTGGCCAGTGGCATAGACTAATCTCAGTGACAGTGATGATTTAGGGTCCAGCATAGCACAGTCATTAGTTCTGTATGTACATTGTAACAGCCCATGTTAGAATTAGACTAGACACTCCAGCTCATCTCAGCCAACCTTCAAAAGAAAGCTAATCAGAAGAAGGGCTGGGGAGAGGAGAGAGAACCAGTTTTATGTGTAACCTGTCAAGGCAGTAGTCTCTGAATTTCATCTTTCCAAACAGAAAAGATGGCTTATTGTTTTCCTTGTAGACCCATCTCACATCTGGCAACATCCCCAAAACTCAATTTATTCTCTAGGGTCTCGGAAGCAGAAAAAGACAAAGAAGTGTCTGTTTCGGTCACTCAGAGGACACGGAATGAATATCTTGTGCCGCTGTAGTGACAAGGGAAACACCTGAGGAAGCTTCGGTGCTGTTTCTGTGTTTGGGCCCGTTCTAAAGGGGAGAGGCTTGAGAAAAGGCAATCGCCAAAGTATTTCATAGACTGTTTAGTTGCATTGTGTTGAAACTCTCATGGCCAGTGTCGGCTAAGGAAAAACACGCAACAGGAGAGGCATGAGTTGAGGTTATGTCCTGGCTCACTTAGGACACCAGGCTGGGACACGGGCTCTCTGACTCTGTGAGAAGGTGTCCTGGAGACGGAAGGGTGGGGGTCAGCGTACCTGTGACTCTGGCCAAAGGGAGACGTGTAGCCGAGCACAGGAGGAGGTTGCTGCCTGTCACCAGGAACAGACCTCTTAGTTAAAGGCTTTCATGCTTTCCTAAGTGTGGGAACATGCAAGCATCCAGGTTCATAAAACTTTTTTTATGAAAATCCTGAAAATATCTATTGGAAGACCTGTTCTGCCAGTTTTCCCAGAGTGCAGACCTCCCTGACCTCCACCCTACACGCCTCTTAGGTGTGTTGAAGGTCAATGACCACGGTGGCCAGTGACTCAGTCCTTGTAGAACCGGGTGCTGAGCAACATTCTTGAGCTGGCACCAGGTATTGGGGAGGAGGAAACTGCAAAGCTGTAAGTTCCCAGAAGCTTTCTGTAGTGCTTATGGAGATTAAAATGATGTCCACTCTCACACCCAGGCTTGAAATCTAATTCAGGACCTGAAACCCCTGACAAGCCAAGGGGCTGCCTCTGCACACCTCCACACACTTCCCAGACCTGAGACTCCATCAGAGATTAGCTATCTCCTGATCCCTCACCTAGCAAAGCTATTGTTTTCATCTATTTAACATACATTCCCCCCCGCCCACATCTGTATTTATCTGAAAATCAAATATATCTTGTCTTGATGGCTCATTATTATGCAGTTGACAGTATTTCTTGGTGTCTTTCTTGGTGGTAAATAAAATCCATTTTACAATAGATTAAGCAAATAATTTCCCCAGTGGCTGAGTGGTAAAGAATCCGCCTGCCAAAGCAGGAAATGCAAGAGACGCGGGTTCGATCCCTGGATCAGGAAGGTCCCCTGAAGGGAGGCGTGGCAACCTACTCCAGTATTCTTGCCTGAAGAACCTCATGGACAGAAGAGCCTGGCCGGCTCCCATCCATGGGGCTGCAGAGAGTCGGTCACCACTGAGCCTGAGCATGAGGTCAGTAATAAAACAATAACATCTGCTCGTTTAAAAAAATTGTTTATTTTATTTGACTGCACTGGGTCTTAGTTGTGGCACATGGGATCTTTAGTGACAGCTTGTGGTATCTTTATTTCCCGGACCAGGAATTGAACCCAGGACCCCTGCATTGGGAGCATGGAATCTTAACCCCTGAACCATCAGGGAAGTCTCTCAGCCCCATTTTTGAGACGCTTCTTTGTACTAGTCACTGTACTTTGCAAATTAGTATCTTATCTCACCCAACTGTAACAAAAATATTTGAGAATCTCACAAAAATGTATGAGGATCTAGCATATTTGAAAACAGACTGGGAGACCTAACCTCAAAAGAGCTAAGGGCTTCCAGAATCTAAGTCTACCTGGATCCAAACTCAGTTCTCTTTCTACCACATTACATTTCCTCTGAAGATAACAGCTGGCTCATTCTATCCAGCTCTGATAAATGCAATAGTGATAATAACACCACCGTGGTATAACGATGATAGCAGCCAACACTTCTACGGCTTTTATACAATGAACGTGTTGTATGTATATATATATATGTATACACACATACAGCACACAGTCACACACTCCTGTAATGCATCACGCCTCCATAAAGAAAGTACCATTTGCCCTTACTGACCTCACTTCATCGAAGAGAAAGCTGAAGCACAGAGACCCTTCCTGCTGCCCAAGGGCACCCAGCTACGCAATGATGGAGCCAGAGCTGAGCCAGGCAGGCAGCGTGGCTCCAAGTCCTGGAAGGACCATCTCAGTCCCACACTAGGATGGTAGTCGACACCAGGGAGCTGTCCTCTCTGCAAGAGCTCACTACCATGTGTCTGCGGGCTCCGAGCACTATTTGAATGACGGTTTTCAGGAAGCAGCTCCATTTACATTCTAGTTTATTATCATTTTCCCTCAGGCCCCACATGCCCCAAAATAGAACAGCTCTTTGTAGGTTGTGAAAGATAAATACCTAATGGTGCTCCTTGACGAGATTTTATTCAATTATCTGGGCTTAGCCATACTCAAACTGTAATGTAAAGTCCAGAGTGGAAGAAGGGGATGAACCTATTTTGTACTTAACAGGAGCTAAAAATTATTTTGCTTAGGTTACACCTATCATCCTCCTAACAAACTGTCTTTTTAAAAAAAAATTAAAAATTTTAGTATTATTATTGTTTAGAAATTCACAACATTGCTTGCTTCTTTTTAGCTCTCTGGGTCTTCATTTCTGTGCAGGGGCTTCTCGTTGCTGGCGCCTCGGGCTGGACGGCGCAGCGGGCTCAGGAGCTGTGGCAGAGGGCCCGGCGGCTCTGCGCCGCGCGGCCTCTTCCCGGCCCAGAGACTGAACCCGCGTCCCCGGTATCGGCAGTTGTACTCTCACCCACTGACGCACCAGGGAAGCCGCTAACAAGCTGCTCTGGTTCTCATGTCACAGACGGAGATGCTGAATAAAGGTTGAGACGTGAAATCGTGTGGGCGGAGTCACATCAGCTGTGACAGAACAGGTATGTCTGTGGCCACAGCCATCACACAGTCGGCAGCCAGAGTGGGATCCACTTAGGGGAAGGGCAGAAGGAGGGAAACCTGAACTGGAGGAGAACGCGGGCCCCGCTGAGGCCCGCGGTCCATCTGGGGCGCAAAGGGCCTGCCAGAAGCTGTTGACGTTGTTCGAGGAGCCGCCTGCCAGCAGGAGGAAGTCGCCCGTTGAGGGCCGCTGCTGCTGCTGAGTCGCGTCGGTCGCGTCCGAGTCTGTGCGACCCCGTGGACGGCAGCCCACAGGCTCCGCGTCCCTGGGATTCTCCAGGCGAGAACCTGGAGCGGGTCGCCGTCGCCTCCTCCAGCCGGCTGAGGACAGCGGCCCCCAAAGGAGTGAAGCTCTCCTGCAGGAGGGCGAGGCGAGCTTGGCGAGCATTTTATCTCATAACGCTCAGCTTCGAAAGACCATATGTGAAATCTGAACCTGATTGGAAGCAGTGTGACGCCATTCCTGCAAGTACCTAAGAAATGCCCGGAGGCTACTGTCATAATTAATAAAATGCTTAGCGAGTGAACTTGAGACAGCGCATCCATGAAACTGCTGCTGAGAAGAATGGAAATTTTAGAGTTAAGTTTCAAAATCTGGCGAACGATATCGATAATTTGTCCAAGTTTTTACCACAAATCTGCTGCTTCCAAAAAATAGCCAAAGTTCTTCAAAATAATGCCCAGACAACTGAAAAAGCCAGCATGCTACTTCTAACATGCCGCTGAACTTGAAGAGCATTGGAGATTCACTTAAACCTCGTGAAGACGATGAGTTAGAGGACGGAAAGGAGCCGTCCGAGAGGGCAGAGCGAGGAAGGCTCTGCAGAAGCGCCTGCGCTGTCTCCCGTGGGAAAAGCCGGAGGCCGGGCGGCTCTGCGGTCTGTCAGCTTGTCTCAGTGGCCCCGTCGCCCTAAAAAGTGCAGGTCAGTGCTGGACTTTGCAGAGCGGAGACGGACTTCCCTCCCTCCCAGGCAGCTCTACCTTGCGTCCTAATCACCCGGGGTAGAATCGGCAGTGAGCTGGAGCTGAGATCTGGAACAGAGCGCTGTGCCGTAACACGCCAGCTGGAGCAGAAAGTCCAGGAAACGTACATTTCTTGGAAAATGACCCTGGTTTCTGGCGGTTATTACTGTGAATGAGAATACTTTAGCATCTCAACCCAAAATGACGTAGCAGGATTTTTTTTTTTTTCTACAAACTCCTCCACAGTATATTTTATTCTGTGTTTATCCCTGACTCACAATTGCAGGCAAGTTTTAATCATGCTTATTCCTGAATAACTTTGAAGGTGTCTGTGCTATAAAACAATATACAACTTTATTGTGTACTATTTATTTTTTAAACTTTAAACTTTTTCCTCCTCACTCTGATGAGGTTTGTTTTCAAGAAAGAATATTGTAAATGTGTTTCTATGAAACATTTTAAAAATGAAAAACACAATAAACTGAGAATCTGCCAATGTTTACCATTTAAACAGTTCCATTTTTAAGGGTAGAATTCCTATGGCACAATAGCCTAACCTAGAGAAGGTGTTAGTCACTCAGTCAAGTCCAGCTCTTAGGGACTCCATGGACTGTAGCCTGCCAGGGTCCATGGAATTCTCCAGGCGAGAATACTGGAGCCAGTTGCCATTCTCTTCTTCAGGGGATCTTCCTGACCCAGGGGTTGAGCCTGGGTCTCCTGCATTGCAGGCAGATTCTTTACCATCTGAGTCATCAGGGAATTCCTAGAACCTCATGTAATTAGGACCCACTCAGAGTAGAAAAGACAGGCAAGGGAGAAGTGAAATACTTTTGGCGTTTTGCTGACTTAATCCTTCGGGGTGGTGGCACAGTGGAGAACCTGAATAATTCCAGCTTATTCTACAGTAAGAGTCATAGGTGACTTCTGATGCAGAAATTAGGGTTCCTTATTAAAACTCTAGAGATAATTAGATTGTGACCTGGAATTTGTGCAATCGGACAGAATAAAAGACAAATGTCACATTTTTCAGTGTAGGGACGTTGTTGTTTGCCTCCATGTATTTTTTTTTTTATTTATTTTTTTTTTTTTTTTGCTACACTGGGTCTTCACTACTGTGAAAGGGCTTCTCTTGTTGGGTTTAGTTGACCCACCACATGTGGGATCTTAGTTCCCCAACCAATGATTGATCCATGTCCCCTGCATTGAAAGGTGGATTCTTAACTGCTGGACCACCAGGGAAGTCCTGTATCCATGTATTCCCTTTTATTTTTAGTCTTTGTTGAATTTGTTACCATATTACTTCTATTTTTTATTATTTGATTTTTTTTTTCATTTTGGCCTTGAGGCCTGTAGTGTCTTAACTCCCCAACCAGGGGTTGAACCCACACCCTCTGCATTGGAAGGTGAAGTCTTAAACTGGACTGCCATGAAAGCCCCACCTCCATGTATTCTTGTATTCTCTCAATTGACTTTTAAAAAGTAAGTGGTGAATACTGACACCACTATTATTCAACATAGTTTTGGAAGTCCTAGTTACAGCAAGCTGAGGAGAAAAAGAAATAAAAGGAATCCAGATCAGAAAAGAGGAAGTAAAGCTCTCTCTGTTTGCAGATGACATGATACTGTACATAGAAAACCCTATAGATACTATCAGAAAATTACTAGAGCTAATCAGTGAATTTAGCAAAGTCATAGGATACAAAATCAATACACAGAAATTACTTGCATTTCTATATACTAACAATGAAAAATCAGAAAGAGAAATTAAGAAATCAACCCCATTCACCACTGCAACAAAAAGAATTAAATATCTAGGAATAAGCTTACCTAAGGAGACAAAAGAACTATACACAGAAAATTATAAGACACTGATGAAGGAAATCAAAGACCACATAAACAGATGGAGAGATGTTCCATGTTCCTGGGTAGGAAGAATCAATATTGTGCAAATGACTATACTACCAAATGCAACCTACAGATTCAGTGTGATCCCTATCAAATTACCAATGGCATTTTTCACAGAACTAGAACAAAAGTTTCACAATTTATATGGAAACACAGAAGACCCTGAATAGCTAAAGAGTCTTGAGAAAGAAGAATGGAGCTGGAGGGATCAGCCTTCCTGACTTGAGATTATATGACAAAGCTATAGTCATCAAAACAGTATGGTGCTGGCACAAAAACACAAATATAAACCAATGGAACAAGATAGAAAGCCCCAAAATAAACCCACACATTGATGGGTACCTTATCTTTGACAAAGGAGGCAAGAATATACAATGGGGCAAAGACAGCCTCTTCAATAAATGGTGCTGGGAAAACTGGACAGTTACATGTAAAAGAATGGTATTAGAACACTTCCTAACACCATACACAAAGATAAACTCAAAATGGATTAAAGACCTAAATGTAAGACCAGAAACTATAAAACTCTTTGAGGAAAACATAGGCAGAACACTCAATGACATAAATCAAAGCAAGATCCTCTATGACCCACCTCCTTGAGTAATGGAAATAAAAACAAAAATAAACAAGTGGGACCTGATTAAACTTAAAAGGTTTTGCACAGCAAAGGAAACTATAGGCAAGGTGAAAAGACAACGGGAGAAAATAATAGCAAATGAAACAACTGACAAAGGATTAATTTTCAAAATATACAAGCAGCTCATACAGCTCAATGCCACAAACACAGCCCAATCAAAAAATGGGAAAAAGATCTAAACAGACATTTCTCCAAAGGAGACATACAGATGGCTCACAAACACATGAAAAGATGCTCAGCATTGCTCATTATTAGAGAAATGCAAATCAAAACTACAAAGAGATATCACCTCACACTGGTCAGAATGCCCCTCATCAAAAAGTCTACAAACAATAAATGCTGGAGAGGGTGTGGAGAAAAGGAAACGCTCTTGCACTGTTGGTGGGAATGTACATTGATACAGCTACTATGGAAGACAGTATGGAGATTGCTTAAAAAACTAGGAATAAAATCACCATATGACCCAGCAAACCCACTCCTAGGCATATATCCTGAGGAAACCAAAATTGAAAAATGTACAAGTATCCCATTGTTCATTGCAGCACTATTTACAATAGCTAGAACATGGAAGCAAACTAGATGTCCATCAACAGATGAATGGATAAAGAAGTTGTGGTACATATACACAGTGGAATATTACTCAGCCATAAAAAGGAACACATTTGAGTCAGTTCTAATGAGGTGGATGAACCTAGAGCCTATTATGCAGCGTGAAGTAAGTCAGAAAGAGAAAGATAAGTATCACATACTAACACATACATATGGAATCTAGAAAAATGGTACTGAAGAATTTATTTGCAGGGCAACAATGGAGAAACAGACATAGAGAATAGACTTATGGACATGGGGAGAGGGGAGGAAAGGGTAACATGGAAACTTACAATACCATATGTAAAATAGATAGCAAATTCCATTTTATTGTATGTCTCAGGAAACTCAAACAGGGGCTCTGTATCAACCTAGAGGGGTGGGATGGGGAGGGAGATGGAGGCAGGTTCAGGAGAGAGGAAATATATGTACACCTGTGGCTGATTAATGTTGAGGTTTGACAGAAAACAACAAAATCCTGTAAAGCATTTATCCTTCAATTAAAAAATAAATTTTTTTAAAAAAGAAAGTGGTGAATATTAGTACAAATAACTTAAAAATGGAAATTCCTTTTGGAGTTTAAGACCCAAGTGCTTGTCACAGCTCTCCCATTGCACAGTTTGGTCTCTGAGACTCCATTTTATTTGGTTTTACTTTTGTTTGTTTGTTTGTTTGTTTAACTTGATTTATTCAGGCTACGTTAACTGTATATGTCTACTCTTGTGCTTTAAGCAAGGTGAAAAGACATCCCTCAGAGTGGGACAAAGTAATAGCAAATGCAACTGACAAAGCATTAATTTCCAAAATANGCCTTCATGAATCTTACAGTTCATGGAGGCAAAGAGATGTAAACAAAAAATTGCATTAATAGTTAGCCGATTGTAATTTTGGCAAGTGTTAAGAGGGAAAAGTATAGATTGATGCCTCACAGTGGATGTTCTCAATCTTGCTTTTTTGGGTCTTAAATGATAAAGTGGGCTGGTTTCTAAAAGGTTAATGAGTGAAAGGTGAGTCAGAAAACATGCTGTTTGGCTAATGAAAGAACTGGCCAAAAACAAAACAAAACAAAGCTGAGTTAGAGTTCTCA